CCTCGACCCTCGAATCAGGAACCCGAGATCTACGAGTCCAAGCAGGGCGATCCTCGGATCTAGGATCCGAGGTGCTCGCAGATGCTCAAGGCCAAAATCTCGGATCCTCGATCCGAGGATGAAGGATCGAGCCTGCTTGACAGCGGTCTGGGCGGCCCGAGGATGGCGACGAGGGCGATCGACGATCCCCGAGGCTCGATCCTCGATCCTCGGATCGCGATACCCGGCGAGGCGATCCCCGGATCTAGGACCAAAGGCTCCCCAAGCTGCTCGGAGTCAAGATCCCGGGTCCTCGATCCGAGGGTCGAGCCCCCTTGATGGCGGCCAGGGCCTAACGACGGCGACGGCGACGATCGACGATCGCCGAGGCTCGATCTTCGATCCTCGGATCGCGAAGCCGAGATCTACGAGTCCAAGCCTGGCGATCCCGGGATCTAGGATCCGAGATGCTCGAAGACGCTCGGGCTCAAGATCTCAGGTCCTCGGTCCGAGGATGGGGGATCGAGCTTGCTTGATGTCTCGCTGCCTGATCGAGGATCACTCTGCAAGGAAGGGGGTAGCGCCCTGCAGCTTGGAACGCAGCCCGCGCGCACTCAAACGTTCGCTTGGAGCTTGAAAGGCAGACGTGGCTCGAAAGTGCGCCTCGAGACGCTCGCGCGGCGCCCCCGTAGCGAAAAGCGTGGGAGCGCTTGGCTCGGGGCGCTCGCGCGCCATGCGCTCGCCGCTAGCCGCCGCTCGGCTCTCAGGCGTCATTCTGCGTGAGCTTGTCGACCTCTCGCTCGGCCTTCGCGTCGGCCCGGCTCTTCTCGGGCTCGCGCTGGTTGGTCATCTTGACGTAGTCGGCGTAGATCGAGGCGAACGCTTGGGAATGCAGGTTGATGTGCTGGTTGAGAATAGTGGCCTCGTTGGTGCTCGCGCAGTCATGTTTGAAGCGCTTGTCCTGGTAGCTCCGCTCCTGGAGCTCGCGGGCCATGTCGGCAGTGCGCTTGAGGCGCCAGCGCCACCTGGCGACCGCTCGCGCGGTGGCTCGCGCGCGGTCGTCGGCCGACACCGCGCGGCCCTGGCGGCGCCAAGTGATGAACTGCTTGGCCTTGTGGGGGATCAACTCGAAGAGCTGCTCGGCTGGCGCAGCGTAGGAAAACTCCTCGCCCCACGTCTCGACGGGCTCGAATTCATCGTTGATCGGCAGCGCGAGGTCGCGGAGGTGGAGGAGCTCGGAAGGGGGCGTCGGGGAGGGCCTTGCCGACACGCTCGGTGTGGGAGCCGAAGGTGAGGCGCTGGACGTTCTCGGTGCCGGGCTCGGCGTCCTCCTGCTTGCAAGCTCGAGACCTGACCTCAGCATGAGCCAGAAGAGGTTCTCGGGCGGCTCTCCGCGATTGCCGAAGACATTGCAGAGGCGGGCGTCATTCTCGCAGTAGGTCTTGTAGAACAACGCCACCGTTAGCTCGACGCGTCTCTTGTCCTTCTCGTCGAAGGTGCGCCCGTCCTCGATGCTCTTGAGAAGACCACCGTTGCAGACCATCTCGAGGACGGCTCGCTGGGCGCTGCCTGACCACAAGGCGCTGTCCGCTGTGACAGAAAAAAAAGCCGTCACACTTGCTGCGTCAATGCCTTGCGCGCGATGCATCGGCGATGCGCGCCCGACCGTGAATCCGCCAATTTCTGTGCAGGTTTGGGCTATCGAACCACACTCTGCGATCACACGCGATTGGGGATCGATTTGTCCCCTGATGCCCATTCGCCCCCTATTGCTGCCCCTTGGGCGAAGAGGCTCGGCACCTCAAAGAGGCTCGAAAACTTCGTGTCTCGGAGACTCGGGGAAGCTCGGGCCCGGGCAGTTGCGGGGGTACAGGAGGAGGAGGAAAAGGAGGGGGAGGAAGAGTAGGAAAAGCCACGAAACGTGTGAGGGATGCGCTCAATAAGTAATTAACTCCAATGCTCCGCCTGCTCGAAAAGCGCACGTAACATCAAAATCCAATCGGTCCCCATGGCCCTGCCACGCGTTCCGGACTCGGGAACGGCCAGGAAAGGGATAATCGAGAATCCCACGACCCTGCCGCACGTTCGTGACTCGGGCAAACTGAACTGGTGAGAACCCCATAGCCCTGCCACACGCTCGTGACTGCGGAAGCTGACATGGTGAGACCACCATGGCCATGCTCAGCGTTTTTGATTCTGTTGCTCGTCAAAATGAAATGATAGCAACTTCGATTCGCAACTTCCCCCGTGGATTATCAAGTTCGGCCTCCGCGCCCCTCTCCACAATTAGATCCAATTGAACCGGCACTAAAACAATAGAGGGGGTGAATGGGGTATGATTTATTATCTGGGGTAGTCGGTTACCAACATGTCTGGCAACATCACGGATATCACCACGACGCGCAGCAAAACACCACTGGCTCGGGCCTTGGTTGCACCTACGACTGGTGCGCAAGCGCCCTCCAGCCATTCTGCGAGAGCAAATGCAAAAATTCGCCGGCCCAACGGGCAAGATGCATGCCAAGATCTCCGGTAACAGGTTAAACATATGTTTAGTTCGCGCGCGCGTGGCGGCCCCGAGGGACCCCCGGGCGAAGAGTACCCCGGCCGATGGCCGGCCGACTTCCCCCGGGCGCTCCAGGAGCGCACCAGGCGCCGAGGCGCCCCCCGCACGGCCCAAGAGGCCCCGACTCGCCGAAATACCATTCCAAGACGCTCAAGATGGTGTACAGATGGCCCCAGAGGCCGCCAAAAAGCCCCAAGAGAGCCCAAGAGGCTCTCCAAGAGGGCCCCAACGAGCAAAATTCGTCCCATACCTTTCGGACGACGTACATTTTTCGCATGTGCGACATTTGGCGGTTCACAGCGTCCAGGACTGCCCCAGAGACCTCCAACATCGTCCCCAGATGGCCTAACACGCCCCCAAGAGGACCCCAAATCGGCCCATGAGGCGCCCAGGACGACCCAAGACAGCCCCAAGAGGGGCCCAAGAGGGGGAACACGAGCCACCAACTCGAGCCTTCCGCCCCAAGAGGCCCCCAAGAGGCCCCCAGAGGCCCCCAAGAGAGCCCAGGAGGCCCCCTGGAGGCCTCACGAGGTCCCCAAGAGGCCCAAAAAGAAGCCCCAAGAGGCCCCCAAACGGCACCCCCGAAAGCTCCAAGAGGCCACGACCGCGCAAGCAAACGAATGCGATGGCACAGTACGGGCCGGCGGAATGAGCGAAGCGATTATCGACTCTACTAATTAACACGAGAGCAGGACGATGATAAAATCTGTGAAGATAGATCGAGAATCTCTGAGATCCGGCGGCTCTGGGAAATGTCTCAGGCGCCGCAGCCTTCTCAGAGCGTTATGGAACGCTCTGAGAGCATTCCGGCACGCTCTGGAACGCATCTATCCTCGTCCTGGCCCCGTCAAACCAACCATAACAGCCCCAGCCCTGCTACTCCTGCGGGGTGGATGGCCGGACATGGCAAGGGAAGGCCAGACAAGGCACGACATTCAGGGCAAAGCAATGCAAGGGCAGCGGGAAGGCAGGGCAATGGCAGTGCGAGGGCAGAGCAAAGGCACGGCAAAGGCCAGGCCTGGAGGCGAGGCATGGTAACACGCAGGGCAGGGCAGGGCCAGTGAGAGCAAGGTGAGGCAGGTTCCTCATCATGATCCTCCTGCTCACATGCACAAGCCGAAATAGGCATCTCTCCCCCAAACATTGTTTCAATGATTGTTTGAAACTCCTACCTGTGAATCATTTGTACGTCGTTGCAGTGGATCGCACGATGAACATAAACTGCAACAGTAAGCATCACGCTGCCTCGGGCGATCGATTCAAGAAAGCGCATGAATCATGAGGAAGGACGAAATCAGAGCGGTCAACTAGATAACCCTGAAAGGTCTCTAGACCCCCCTAATAGGGGATAACTAATTATTTGCTCGGCGGCCTGATTGAAGAACTGGGGTCCCACTCAAGGGGGTACCTAATTATTTTGTTCCGCGGCATCCGCCGCGCAACAACGACGACGACGACACCTACGACCACGATGGCGACCACGACTACGACGACGGTACTACTTATGCCTCAGGAGCGCTTTCACGGAACATCCTAGTTCAGAAACTCGATCCTCAGAAACTCTAGCCCCAGGAGGAGGAGGAGAAGCAGGAGGGGCCAATTTTAGGACGAGTCCGATTCACCGTTGGGGGAAATGAGGGGGACCAAAACAAAAAACATCGCTCGGTTGCAACCATCCACATGCACATGGCTGCAAGACTGGGCATATCAGTCACACAGACTCTGGTGATCAGCCCGCCGCTCATGGATCCGCTGGCTGTCGAGTGTCTTCGTAATGTCTAGACATACCAAATCCGAATCGACATGATTTCTCGCGATAGCCGCCGTTACTCCAGGTAACGTCACGACTCGTGCTGACCTCCGAATTATCTTCGGCTATTCCTTTACGTTCCCAGACGGCGCCGCGCCGGCACGAAACGTGTTGTCCCTCTCCCTCCCCTCCAAAAAAAGCCCGCCAACCCCCGGGAATGAAACAGACCATCCAAACCCAAGCGGACCCGCTACCTCATCGACCACCAGACGCTAGTCGACGCAAGTGATGCTCTAGAAACGGAACTACGAAAGTACACAAGACTCCCATGATTTGCCACCGACCCCCCCACGCTCATCACGAAGCGCGGAGTGTTACGCGAGAAGGGCGGAAAGTGCTCAGAAAAGTCGCGGACATGACAAGGCGCGCCGTCTGCGCAGAACCACGCAGGATGACAACATACGGGCAATCTTATGTCCAATCCACTGCGTCTTGAACTTTCTGGGAAGGGGAGCCAAACGGCCGAGATGTAGTGGATATGGGCAAAAATCCAGCTTCTAGGGCTAGGGGCCAAACTTTGATCCATGTCAACTGCGCCGCTTGGTTCTGGGAAGGGAAGCCCAGAACTCGAAACACGGTGGACGTGATTATGCATCTTGCCCGCACAAACGACAACGCGGGAACTGCACCCGCCCGACCCTGGTCCTTCAACTTCAGCTTGCTGCCGGTCATCGGACACCTGCTGGAGGCCGTGAGAAGGGGACGACGGCGACGAACACTTCTGAGGGCCGACGGGTGCTTCGACACTTACTTTGCTTCGGGATGCCTACGGAAAATTGCGCCCCATGGGGGATGGCTGCCGCGGCAGGCAGTTGTTGCTCGTCGAAGGCGCGACGCCCGATCCCCAAGGAACTCCAGGCCCCTTGGCGCCGAGAGGCCGCGGTGTACGAGGATCTACGTGGAGGAATCGATGCGGTGTGAACTACGTGATGCGAGTCACGTGGTGTAAGCTGTGCGCAACGTCTCGCGCGCGCGAGGCGCCCACGGCGGCCCCCCCAGGCGGGAACTCGGCGGACCCGCCCCGGCGCGGGGAGCGCCCACGAACCGCCAGCGGCCACCCGCCAAAACTCGACAGACCCGCCCAGCGCACGGGGGCCCCCACGAAGTGCACGCGGCCGCCCACCGTACGAAATCGACAAGCACTCGTAGGGCTGCCCCACGCTCCAGCTCGAGAGCGGCCAAGAGGGGGGTGTCCAAGAGGGGGGGGGGGAAATCATGACCGGCGGCATGTGCGCGGCCCAGCGGGGGGGCCTGGGACGTAATGAAATAAGAAGAGGTGCCATGAAATCTGGGGAAATATCATGGCCCCCACCATGATATCCACCCCCCCCCGAAGACATCACCCCCCTCTTTTCCGCTCCCGACACTCGTAGGGCTGCCCCGGGCTCCAGCGGGGCGGTCCTGGGCTTCAGTGGGGCTGTCTGCCCGGAAGAGGCCCAGATGCACCTCCCACGACAGAGAGAGGTCAGACAATCCTCCAAATCCTGGCGCCTCACGGCTGTCGCGTCCTGCGCTGCAGTCGACAAGGTGCCTGGGCCTCGCCGTGGAGGTCGCGAATCCATCGCAAAAGCTGACGCCCCGCAGTGCCTCCGCCCGCCGCAGGTTGAGGCCCGATTCTGCGGCTCCATTACATGCCCTGAGCAAGCTGGAGTACCTGTCCAGCTCGTGCAACCTTTGGAAACGTTCGTAAATACCGTTCGTACATGACAGTGCCTTCGCCCCAGGCTGGACTCAGCGTCCAAGATCCCATCAGTGTCGCGCTTTCCCTTTACGAAGCTATGATGCTGACACGCACGACCAGGCAGCTCTCGCCCCTCCAGTGGCTTGTCAGCAGCATACCCCTATTGGATCCGACCGCTGTCCGACGCGGTGTAGGAGAACTCTGGCCCCTGTGATCTTTCAGCCATGGATAATGCGTCTCGTCGTTGGGTCTGGATTTGATCTTGCCCAAAACGGTGAACTGCCATGGATCATGCACGTCGTTGGCAGCCGATGCATCAATCGTACGTATAACATCCACACTACCATCCATGTCCGTGTCTGGTTTGAGACCTACGACCTACGATTGCGAGGACTGACCAAATTTGAACTCGCAAATCCTAACTGTTGCTAGTGGTAGCTCCAAGTGCAGCCAACTCGCCACGGGTTGCACGTACATCAGCCGCGAGACCATTCACATGTGTAGCGATACCAGATTTCGCTCCACACCAAAAACAGCGCTGATGGACAACATGAAGAGGGCATTTCCTCTGGCAGGGAGACCAGCAGGAACACCACGCTCGTGCCTGTCCTGACCCTGCGGCGAACATGCCCTCCATGCCAGTGCCCCCATTCAGCGTCGATCAGCAGGGCGTGACTCACCAAGCAAGCGACCCTGGCAAGAGGAGCCTCCTCGCCCGTGTACGGCCATGGCTCTGGCAGGACGGAGCAGAACGGAATGCGTAAGAACACAGAGAGTGCAGAACATGAGTTGCAACAGTCGCTGCCTCGGCAACAGGTGGAGTCCAGACGGGATGATAGTGATGATGGTGATGGTGAGGGTGATTAAACTGCTGATGGTGATCATGCAGCCGACCCTCGCGGGCGGACGCGAGGGGGCACGATCGGGGGGGGGGGACCGGCTCGAGGGGCAGACACCGACACGGAAGCGACCACACGTCTGCGGGGCGGGGATCTGCCCACAGCCACCGCCCGTGCAGTCGACGTCCTGGCACCACAGCGGGCGGTGGACACGGATATGTTGAAGGGGCCCCAGGACACACACATAAAGATATTCCCCATAGTTTCCTATATTCTAGGGGTTTGTGTCTCCCCCCCCCACTTCCCATATTTTTTCATATTTTCCGGAGAATCGGCGATTAATTGTGTCTGTGTGTTGTTGTCCCATCCTGATATGTTCGGGCCCCGGGGGGTCCGTATGTGTCCGTCCCACCGGCGGCTGCCGAGGTCCCCGACGATCGATCCCCCCCAGGCGGTGGTTCTGGAGCAGTCCCCGCCCCGAAGCGATGAGACGATGCGAGGCGGGACCACCGTGCCCCCGCACCGAGGTGCGGCCCGCGAAAGAACAGGCGGGAGGGGCCGCCAGACCCAAGAGGGCTGAAGGCTGCGTCCACACGGTGTTACCTGTCGGTGGGAGGAAGTGGGCAGAAAGATGAGGTAGGGGGGCGTCGAAAGCAGATTGGGCTTCTGCTCGCCCCCGGAGGACGAGGGGAGAGGGAAGGCCACGCCACTCTTGAAGTGGGCAGGCGCCTGAAGCAAATTGGGACTCGGGCAGCAACAACCATGCATTCTTTCAACGACCCGCGCGCACCTACCTTTGAACGAATCCCACGCTCGGCCGGGGCAGTACGACATGGGAACGATCGGGCGGGGACGGGCCCGTGGTGTGAGCATGCGGCCGAGCCGTAACACAAGCATGCGCTGCAAGGATGCATGGGCCCTGGGAGGCTACGTCGGCACTCTGCGGGCGGTGCGCGGCCAGCGAAGACGGCCAAGGATGGGCCGAAGGGCAGGGCCGCAGAGGGTGACCTGCGAAAGCTGCTCATCCTTACTGGGCGGATCGACTGCATCGACCTGGAGGCGGCGATGCATCGCCGAAGGATCAGCGATGGGCCCTCGACAGCGACTTCAGGCGTTCCTGGGCGGGGGTGGGCTGTCGGACGCCCTTGCCTGCCGAGGCCCCCGCGGCGATGCATTCCCCAGGCGGTGGCGATGGACAGATCCCCGCCTCGCATCAGGTGAGGCACGTCCGTCCTCCTACAGGCGGATTCTGGAAGGAAGATAAAACACAGCCAAAACATGTTCAAGCATAGCACAATCATCGGAACACCAGCCCCAAACTGTTTGACTACTATGTTTGCCTTCTCCTCCTGCAGAGGGACCTGCCCCACTTGAGCCTCGCGCTCGGGGGCGGTGCGCCGCGCCGTGCCTGCTGGCGGTGTCCACCTTCTTCAGCTCGGACGGGGCCGCTGTGGGGGTGCAGAAGAAGAACAAGCGGCATAAACATAAATGTTTGGCGCTCCGCGCGGATTTTTTGGATCTGCGCTGGACCCCCCTCCCTGGCGCGCGGAGCGCGCCAGGGGCGCCGCCGGAGGCGCTGCCCGGGGGGGCCCACCGCAGATCCAAGAAATCCGCGCGGAGCGCCGAACACTTCTGCTTATGCAGTTGTTTCTTCTTCGATGGTCTGCGCGGCCCAGAAGTTCTTCTTCCGCATCTCGGCCTTGTCTATGACCTGGGTTGCACTGGGGCGAGCAGGGATCGGGGGATGAGGAGGAGGAGGAAGAGGAGGAAGAGGAGGAGGAGAGGGAGGAGGAGGAGGAGGAGGAGGAGGAGGAGGAGGAGGAGGAAGAAGAGGAAAAGGAGGAGAAGGATGAGGATGAGGATGAGGATGAGGAGGAGGAGGAGGAGGAGGAGGAGGAGGAGGAGGAGGAGGAGGAGGAGTGGGGGACTCAGAGGTTGGCACCACCAACAGCATCGGCAGCTGCCTCGACCGAAGAAAGATGATCCCGAGATTGGTGGTGGTTGCAAAACTCGGGCTTCTTAGGCTGCCAAGACCTTACCACCCACACCAAAACCTAGGATCCTCCTCGTCCTCCGATGGGGAGACCCAACTGTGTTGGTCTTGGTGCCAATATCCTGGACTCTGGGGGAGGGGTGAGGAGAGGGTGAGGGGACTCGCCCCTAAACGTCAATCACACATCTGCAAATGATTGCCCCGAACTGGCAAAGGACGCGCCGGGCAAATACCAAGCTCACGGCTTCGCTCGGGGGCGGTCGGGCGAAAGGGCCTTGGCCACTGGTGCGCGGTACTGCTCAACGCGTACCTCCAGTGCGGACTTCTGGGGACCCAGCGCGGGATGCCGCCTCAAAGAATGCTGCGAAACGTGCTGCTGCCACCCCCCCCCGCTGTAACCGCGACCCCGGCACCTTTCCCTCTTTAGGATGGGTGGCCACCGGGGTCAGGCGCGTAGGGCGCCGTCCAGCCTGTACACCCCCACGGACTGCGGGCAGCGGCCCATGACCCAGACCGAGGGGCCAAAGAAGTGCAAAGCTTAAAGCACCGCACCCGCGCGGGGGCGGCCTGGGGGGGGAAGGAGGGGACGGGGGCTAGAGGCCTCTAAGATGGGGTCGGAATAGATGGTGCCGAAGGATCGCGCCGCATCGCCAATGCATCGCCGATGTATCGGCGATGCATCGCCGATATACCAACGTCGCCTGCGATGCATCGGCGACGTCGGCGTGGAGAAAACCGGGTTCCGCATCGAGCCGCATCGCCGATGCATCGGCGATGCGGCGCGATCCTCCGAGCCCATCTTCTCGGACCCCACCTGGGAGGCCTAGAGGGACGCGGGCCGGGGGGCGGTCGTCGTGTCGTCGTTGCGCTGGTGTGGCTGCCGCATCCACCTCCACCGGCTGAGTGACTCATGGCTGATGAAGGTGGTCCTGTAGCCGTGCAGACCTGTCCTGCCACCTCCCCGCGGCTCAGCCCAGCGGGGAGGCAGGGGCGCACTAAGGAAAAAGGAGGCCGGCGCAGGAGGCCGGCCGCTAGCTCTCGCAGTTCCGGCCGGCGTCCGCTGGTCAGGGCGCAGCCGCGCCGCCGCCGGCAGGACACACCAAAACTTCATCGGCCACGCGCAGAAAGGGGGTCCTCCTCGTCCTCCTCCTCCTCCGCGTCCTCCTCCTCCTCCTCCTCCTCCTCCTCCTGCTTTTCCTCCTCCTCCTCCTCCTCCTCCTCCTCCTCCTCCTCCCCTTCCTTCTCTTTCCCCTCCTCCTCCTTCCCTTCCCCCCCGTCTTCCTCCTCCCCTTCCTCTTCCCTCTCTCGACCCCATTCGCGCCTCGAGTTCAACTCCGACTCCTACACCGACGCTGGGCAACTCTACGCAAAGAGCTCGGCTATCCAGAAAAAGGGTTCAGCCTCGTGGACGGCCCCAGCGGGGCCGAAAACGCACGAGGGCGGAACGCCGCCCGAGGGCGGCAACAGAGACGGCCGAGCGGCAGCAAGCCGCGAGCGCCCTACCGTCCCCACGCAAGGGAAGGCCCGAAAAAAGCTGAACCCCTCCTAGATGGCCCAACCCCTCGCCCCCCGACGGCCCGCGCGGGCCGCGGCGCCACGCCTAGTCCTTCTTCTTGCCAGTCAGCTGCTTGGCCATCTCCCCCTCGGTGCCCGCCCGACCTTCCTGACGCCGCCCCAAACCATGAGCAGGATGCTCATCGAGCGCATCAGTTCCATGCACTTCTGACCCTCGCCCAGGCTCGGAGGCTCCAGCGGAATCCGCTGGAGCACACCTTCGAAAGTCGAGTCCGTCGCCGCTTCTCCCCACGTCGATTTCTGGGCCTCGTCGACCGTTTTCGCGAGCGCGACGGTGGAACGCACCACGATGTGGTCGCGGAGGGCCATGGTGAGCCCGATTATCTTATGATCGTACATCGGGCTGTACGTACAATCCTTGATACACTCGCTGGCGTCTTCCGATGTACCATGTGCGAGCATCGCGATCAATACCGTCGGGGCTCCTCTGAATCGTTGTATTGCTGGGGATCCTTCCTGCTCTAACCAACTCTCGATCTCTTTCAGAGCCTGCGAAAACAGCTGCAACTCTGGTGGGCCCCGACCGTGTTCCGGCCCCTCCTCCTTTACCACTCGAAAGTGCTCCTGGTACTTCTCCTGACCATTCTTGACCACCACGTGATTTACTGGAAGATGAATTTGGGCGCTCTGTCCGTGTTCCAGCGACCGCAGCCGAGCTTCCATCTGCGCCGTGAGTTCGCGCTGAGTCACATAGTCGCCATCCTTGGCTTTGGTCCTCTTGGGTGCTGACTCCCCGCCTCCTGCTGGAACGTTGCCCAATATCCACGACATCGAACTCTATCTGGTGTTCTGAAACAGATTGGGCGAGATGCATGCTCAGCAAATGTTGTCGCTATACTTGAGCCTCTTCGGCCTCGAACGGACATGTCCTGCATTTCGTTGCTTCTAACCTGATTTCTGGCCCCGGTCTTGACCAGTCCCGCCATACGCCCTGCTCGGGCGCTCTATTCACGTGCTTCTGCACCTGCGCGTGCGTCGTGCACGTCGCCCCGCATAACTCGCAACGGTTGCTCACGCAGTATGCCCTACATGGTACCTGTTGCCCGTGCGTGCCACCCTTCACGCGCGCGCAGTGCGAAGCCACTTGTACGTTATCTGGAAGCCGAGCCCGGCAAGGACTGCCCTGATCGCCCTCCGCTCAACGCTGGGAAACGCCCCGCCCGCCCCTCCGCCGGGCCGATCAGGTTTAAACTGGCTCGGATTCGATTCAAATGCGCTCGAGGCCCCAGCACATCCAGATTCAGAGAATCCTCTCGCCCTTCGGGAATCGCTCGAAGTGGCTGCCTGTCATACCAATCGAGGGAGACTTCTCCATCGTCGTACACCTCAACCGCTTGAGCGTCCTGAAGCCACTGCCTAGTCCAGGGATTGTCCTCCTCCCATTTGTCATCCCGAACAACTCCTGCACTTTGTGACATGCTCGAAAATTTCTGCATACCACTCCCAAGACCTGCTCAGCCACACTAAGATCAGCTAGTAGGTGATGAAGCCATTTAAGCTGTTAACTTATCGCCTCTATGCACAGACTGGCCGAGCCGAGCTCGCCCAGCACCTGCAACTCCGTTGGCGGCCTGAACGAACCGTCCGCCTGCGCCTTCGCCACTCCGCCTAGAACGGCCCCCCCTCGACGCGCAACAGCGCCTTCAAGCCTTTGCAAATCTGGGATTCGGAGGGGGCCGTCTTTCTGTTTTACCCATGTTTCGATAAACCGTCATTGCGGCGTTAATGACATATCCTTTGCGTATATATTTATTCCATCGCGTCGGCACGTTGGCCCCAGAGCACTCCATGCCACCTTCGCGGCAGTGATGCAATATCCCGTCTCCACTGCAGTTTCAAACCTGGCTGCGGTCCTGACCCCAAGATACCTCGCTGCCGCCGTCGCGCGCTTCCCTCGGGCCCTCGCGGCAACGTGGCGCGCCGCATCCTTCCCATGGCAATATGGCGCCGCGTCCTGCTTGCCAGCGTTCTGGCACAACCCAATCTCGCTCAACTTCTGCTGCGCTGCATCGCGCCGGGCCTTGCCCCCGTCGGTTGCCTCCTGCCTGTCGCCGAAAATGAACGCGTCAACCACGTCGACGCACAAGGTGAATGCTGCTTGCTCTCGCCCGCCGGCCCATGGAGAGCCCGCCTCCACCAATGTGCGCTCGTGCAAGGCGTGCGCTTCCAAACCTCGCGCGTGGGCCATCGCGGAGAGGAGCGCCATGATCGGATCGCCCGACGCGCAACCCTCGCCAATCAGCAACAGGACGGACTCCTTGCCTTCAAGAACAAGGTGCGCGTACTTGATGCGAGTCTATATCACTGTCACGCGACGCTCGCGCAAATGTTTCAGCGCGACCTGGTTGAGCCTCTCCATCATAATAGAGAAGAGCGCATTGGTCGCGTCGTGGAGCTGCCTCACACGTTGAAAAACCCATCTTATCTTTTGAAATTTCCATGCGCTGCACATCTGAGCCGCAATCGCTCCTTCTCGCCTTCCGCGTTGGAGAGCGCCGCGAGCCTAACCGAGAGCTTCTAGAATCGCCGTCTTGCGCAACATATTCCGGTAGCAGAACTTGGCCAGCGTGCGTATCAACATCGCAATCCTCTCCCCATCGACGCCAGCATTCTCGTTGCCCTTCGGGGCCTGTGCCGCCCCCGCTCGAAGCCGCAGCAGTGGTGGGCGCTGTGCGATAAGAACAGACTCTGCAATAAGAAGATGAACTGCGGCGTCTTTAACTCGCTGACTTCTGATACATACCCCACTCCTGGGACTTTCTTCTTCGTGCGCATGTTCCCCCGCCTCGGAAAGATCGCGCGCCTCGATAGCTCGGCGCGGGCGCTGGAGCCAGGGGCCGCTCTCCACAATCTCGCTCGCCACGCCGTCTTGCACAGACCCATGGCCTCCTTGGTGATATCATCCTCGGTGAAGACAGCCCTCGCCGCCGCCGGCCTAGTCTCGCGAAACCTCCGTCTCCGTGGTGAGCGCGGCCGGTCATCCGCCGCCAGGTCATCGTCGTTTCATCTTGCGCATCCACTCCTCCGCTCCTCCAAGTATTTGATGGCGAACCGTCTCTTACGACCGCCTTGATTGCGCCGCGCAATGGATCTCGCCACCTTGTACACCTGATGAACTTCATTCGCCTTGACCGCCCGTTTGAACTCTTCGCACCTCATCTCCGTGACTCTGGTCCAATACTGGCGCTTCTGCTCTGTGAGCCACTTGCTGAGGAGCTAAAATCGCCGCTGCAGTCGATCGCTCAAATTAATTCTCTGAATCTGTGTACTGTTGATTCCTCTACTAACCAACTCTCAATATCTCTCAGTGCCAAGCTCCGAAACCGCACATATTTACTAAACGAACGCAGTCCTGCCGATCGCCGCGCCCGTAGGCCTGCAGAGCATGTCTCTCCCTGTATCCGCCGTCCTGTGTTTCAGCTCGCCCACCATGTCCGCTGAGTCCACCGCGCCGAGTTTCATCTCGCTCCGAACTACCAATCGCGCCCCAGATGATCCACGGACCAATCGCAACCCACTCCGATAGTGAAGACAATTCTTGTCGTACGTCCCGTCGTTCCCGCAATAATTGTCCGAGTTCACGTTCGTGTGCTTTGTGGCTTCCAATGTAGCCGAAGTCCTCCGTGCAACACCTCTCCGCCACCTCTTCGATTCCCTCATGGGTCGCTTGGTTGACGAAATCGGGGCGTTCTACCTGCATCGCCGTCATCTCTGTCCGCATCGTCTGTTGAAAAACTCTCGACATGCCTCACGAACCGCGACCGCTTCGTGCCCAGCTGCAGCATCCTCGCGACCGTCTCCTTATGCACTGAGTTCTTGTGCCGTGGTGAGTAGGGCTCCGCCACAATAGCCAAGCCGAAGCACGCCCCAACTGGCACATGATCCCACAGCCCGCTGATCGTAACAAGCATCGACACCACAGGACTGATCGTCGCCATTGCGCCGGTGCAGAATGTACTCCAAGGTTTTCGCCACCCGCTGGTTGTAATACGTCGGACCTCCCTTCTCGTAGTACGTGATAATTGCGCTCTTCCGATGTGAGGCTTCAAGGAGGATCATCATCACGCTGGTGCAAGTGTGACCCCGTGCGTTGAGCTTGCCAGTGATGTCGTCCACTCCGCCTCGGACAGCACGTTAAGATCCGTCAAAATGATCGGTGACCATCCCGCCCCGTGCCAAGATAATATTTCGTAGAACCATTTGGTCATCGTGTTGACCGTTCGTTCCCCGTTCGCCTTGGTTTCTCTGCCTCGGCTCGGGCACGTAGGGATGTACATGAGGATCGTCACCATTCGCAGTGGCCCTCTCTGCAACCGAAACGCTCCGACAAGCCCTTTCAGCCCCTGCGGGAGTGCGCAAAAACCACATATGCAACTACGAGGAAACTTGTCACCACTTATCCATGCCCATAACCCACAAATCTTGTTGACATGCGGACTGGGCGACCAGCCCCAGTCGACAGTATGGAATCTCCCTGCTCGCCCGACTGCACCAATCACATCCTGCCCACTATTCCACTGCTCGGTGCCTATCAGACCGATGACGTCCATGCTGCGTAGGTCATCCACCACATCCTGGGCGCGCTCTCGCCCCGCTGAGAGAGGATTGTAAATACAGATCGCGACGCCGCTCTGGGCCGCCTGAATCCCATGGTCAGCTATCTCATCGTGCACATCTTCTGATAGCATGCAACAGTGGCGCTGATGGGGGGCCCCCCCCGCTCTGAGGATATGGCCACTTTCCCCCTCCTCCTCCTCTTCCTCCTCCCCCTCCTCCTCCTCCTCCTCCTCCTCCCTCCTCCTCCGCCTGCCGTCACCCCTCGCCTGTGCCCCCGGGGGAGGGGGAGGGCCTGCGCGGTGCCGCCACGCGCGGACCCACGGAGGCCTCGCCCCTCCCTGGGTGCCGCCGGGCGTGTGGGCGCCGCCGCCGCCTGGGCCCCCCCGAGAAATCCACCGGGCTGGCTGCAACCACACGCACCGGTGTGCCACAGGACGTGGACATGTTACACTTCTCGGGGAGAGGCAATGGAATGGAATGGGCTCAATCGCAGTGCGATACGAAGGGGGGACCGAACTGCGAGGGCTTAGCTCGGTTCGAGCCCTGGGCCTTGGGCCAATGCCCAGCCTCGAAATTAGTGAGATACCGACGCCGCATTGGAGAGGCGCAGCACACGCCTCTGCAAGATTGGAACGGACTCGGGTCGGAAGGACTCGGGTTGGCATGACGGGGCCATCATGAAAACTGCGCGACCCCGTCTGAAAATTTGACGCGAACTCCCGCCGCAAGCATCCCGTGAAAACTGGACCGTCAAAATCCAGGACGCGCTCGTCAAAAAGCGTCGAGTCTTACGTTTACCCGAACGTCTTCTGCATCGATGCGGGACCAGCAGAGTGCCGCAACATGAAGACCCAACTATCCTCGGAGGGTCTTTGACCCCAAAATAATTGGAACCGAACATTCCTCGGTCTGTTGGAGGATTGGGACTCCCAAGAATACCTGGAAAATAAGTATGCCCCCGCAGCGGCCACCGCTTAGGTCTCCGCGGTTGTCCTCCTCCTCTTCCTCCTTCTCCTCCTCATCCTCCTTCCCCTTGTATGCGAAGGCTGAGCAGGAGACGCCCATTCCGTGGGAGGACGAGAGGGAGGACGAGAGGAAAGAGGAGTTTTATTTTCAGCCGAGAGCGTTGGGGGGGTCACCTGCAGTATTGAAGACCCTCTAAGGTTAGACCGCTCCCCTCCTGGGTGCTGCCATGCGCGATGAAGGTTCCAACGGAGCGACCGTGACACGCAATTCCGACCGGGCGTCGCACTTCCTGGCCGTCGCCAGGCGTACAGCTGCCGCTGCTATCGTGCGCCCCCGAGGGGTCCAGTGGGCTGTCCGTGACATGCAGTCCTTGTCCCTCGCACCTTGCAGTCAGCATGCCAGCGTAAGGACCGCTGAATGAGGAACGAAGCGGCGTTTCTGGCCACGGCGAGCCTCGGCCACGAGTCCCACCAGCCCTTTCGGGCGTGAGTGGTTTAGAGCGCTTCCTCTTCCAACCCCCAGTCTTCCCCTTCGGGGGGGCTGTTCTTTCCCCTGGACCTGGACGGGGCGCCCCGCGACCCACTAGGGAGTCCAAGAAGGCCTCGGTGAGAAGGCACAAACCATTGATTGTACAAAGGGGTGTTGGGCACATGTTGGTCTCCTGATGGGCGGACTCTAATTGACTGCCCCCGCTTGTTTGACAGATTTCCTCCAACATGGTCCTAAGATGGCCCCGACGGGTACCCCAAGACGGTCCCAAGAGGCACCAAGAGGTCCCCAAGAGGCTTCCAAGAGACCCCCACGAGGCCCCAAGAGGCTCTCCCGAGGCAACCAAGACGCTCCACGAGGCTGCTGGGACCGCCAAAAGGCCCCCGAAAGGCACCAACAGGATCCCAAGAAACAACAAACAAGTATCCGAAGAGACTCCGAGGGATATCCAAGGGGCCTCTGGCCTTTCTGCTAGACCTCCTCCTCCTCCTCCTCATCCTCCTCCTCACCTTCCTCATCCGCTTGTTCCTCCTCGACCCTCCTCATACCTCCTTCCTCTTCCCTCTCCGACTCCCCCCCGTAACGGAGCTCCTGGTTTGGGTCACGTGATTCTTACAAGTTGCTCCTCGATGTGTTTCCATGGCCAACCTACTCCCCACATTGTATTCTTCAACCCAACTCGGCTCTCCCCCGTCCCTCCGTCCTCCTCCTCTTGCCATCGCTCGAAGTTCAACTCCGCTGGATGGTCCACATTTCCAATCGATGGCCTCGCCGATCCAAACAAGTGTACACGTCCGAACGATGCCAAGTCCTCCTCCGTCGTTGCCTCCCTCCCTTGCCCGTTCCCCCCCGTCTGCCTCTGCTGCCCGCTCTCCCCTCGCCCTCCCGCTCACCCCTCGCCCTTTCCCTGCACAACGCTCATGCGGGCGTCGGCTCAGGCAAAACGGGCGCGCGGACGAGTGGGCGTGACACGTATGTGGCCTCTGGCCCCCCGCGGCAGACCAGCAACTCGCCCTCGCGCAATTTCTTCTCTGGCCTGTCGTCGGCGCCGGGCACCGTCGCGTCGGCCCGCTCCAGGGCGCGCTTGTGGCTGTAGTCCTCCGCGGGCCACAAGCCGGAGGAGAGGGAGGTCGAACAGGCGGAGTGGAGCATCGCTCAATTGGTCCCTATCCTCTCTGGCGTGGCCGTGGCCCCTCTGGCAGAGTCACCCCACTAGGGAATCTGGGGCACGTGCTGATTCCTTCGGGCCTCGCGGGGCCAATCTCCACCTGGGGGAATCGGCTGAAGGGGTGGGAAGCCCTGGCCCGGTGGGGATGGGGGGCCGGGTAGACGATGCGCCAGGCCACTCGATGCGGTCGGGGCGGGGGGGGGCCCGATGAGCCGCAGCGCCAGCGTGCCCAGACCGCGGCCCTCCGGGCGAAGGGCGACTTGGCGGGCTCCCTCGACCCTACACCCCCTCCCGCCCCGCGCGTGGGCCGAGGAAGCGCAGGCACGGAGCAGCGACGGGCGCCCCGTTTCCGTGCAGGAGCGGCGGCGCGCCCCGCCGCCACAGCGGGCGGCACTGGGTCCCGACGTTCCGGGGCGTCCCTCTCAAGATCCGCGGATCGGGCGACCACGCGCCAGATCTATGGATCCCTAATCAATGTTAGCATGCGCCCGAGCGGCTGTGCAAGCTCCTCGGCACCGCCTGCACCCCGGCCCGCCCTCCGGCCGCCTGAGGCCCCGCCCGCCTGTGCCCTGTCTCCCAAATTAGAGCTGTGCGTAGCCCGCCTAGCTTTTACCGGAAGAGGTTCGCTCTCGCCCCGCAGACCAGAAAAGTGCCCGAGCGGCAGGGCTTCCACCCCCCGTGCCCCCAGGCCGCAACACTTCCCCCATGGCCTGGCCACGAGATTCGGATTGCTGGAATGCCTTTCGGGATGTCTGCGGGTGCTGTCGACCTGAGTCCAGTTGGAGTCTCCCTGCGGCTTCTTTAGGGAGGATGACTGGTGGCTGCCCGAAGCCCTTGTGATATCACGATGTGCAGCGGAGAGCAAGCGGCAAGCCAGATCAAGATAATGAGGACGAGGATGGTGGAAAGGGGCAACGAGGACAGGGGGTCGTGAAGATGCAGGGCCAGAGCGGCAGGATGAACAGAGTGCGGAGAGGAAGGGCTACCCTCGACCAGGATAGTAAGGATGCGCGGTAAGGATGCAAGGGCCTTGGAACGCCATTGATGCGGAGCGCAGCAGAATGCCGATGGATGCCGAATTCCAAAGGGGCAAGGCTGCAAGCGTAGCCTTGGAAAATTGCCCCATCCTTACTATCATGGTTGACTGTAGCATGTACACCGGTGGGAAGATGGTCTCAGGAGAGGAGGTAGGGATGAAGGATAGGAAAGCAATAACAGACGGTGTGGGAAGGATCGCGGGATGAGGGAAAAGGAAACGGAGGATGGCAGGAGGAATTCTGGGTGGGGGTGGTCAGAAAGAGGGAGGCGTGAGGAAGGGACCAGATGGGGGCACAACAAGATTTCGTACACTGGAGAGGTGCGACGATTGCGCTGCGTGTGCTCAGACTTCGTGGCGATGAGTACGGCCATGGAAACAACCCCAAAATCGGAATCGCGTGCGAGCATCATGCTGGGTCCGTCATGAGACGCGGGGTGTAAGCACAGAGCCAGACTGCAAATCCAGCTACTTAGTACCTCGAGCTGCCCCAAAGCCCGAAGGAACTCCCGGGAGAAGATGCCCTGGTCGACCTCCTGAAAGTCGCTGATTTCCTCAGCGCGCGCCCGCCGAGCCTGCGCTATCTCCGCCCCTCCCTCGCTCTCACACATTATCTCCAGCCCATTGTCACTCCGCACGAGCGCATGCACCGCACGCAGCGTGGACACATATACGTTACATGATATCACAACTCATAAGCCTATGATTGCCGCCACGTGTCTCCTCACCTCGGTCGGTGTGCTTGTCTCTGTGCGTCTACCAATCGCCCCCCTCCAACGAGCGACCGACCATGCCCCTGCCATGATGCATCGCATGCTTGAAGAATATGCCATACTTTGATAGGCTGATCGCGTGACAGCGCACGCGGCTCCGCTCCACCCCAGGTGGCTAATTCTAGTATCGGGCTTCACGCCCGCCTCGTGCGTGAAGTGTCGCGCGAACGTGAAGGTGCAGCTGAGCGCGAGAGCGAAGTGATGGGAGAACAATAAATCTACCCAGATCTCCCCATCGCTCGAACGTCCATTGCCCGTGCATGGGAGGGCTCGGGCGAAAGGGAGCCGCGCGAGGGACAGCTGGAAGGAACCCGCGGGGGCGTCGCAAGAGGGGGGGTCGATAAATGGGGAAGGAGGGATGAAATATGCCCATTTCGGGCTCTGCAGGACCCTTTTCGGGGCCTCCAGGGGACCCCTTTTCTGCAGCCCTCGCTGTCCCCCCACTTGTCTCCCCTCCATGACGCGACGCCCAACCCCCTGGGGGGGCAACGATAGGGGTGACATGGAATCGGCGATACAGCGACACATAGCCGATAGATCGGCGATGGGCCCCCGATAGTGAATCCGCACCTTGCTGGGCGGGTTGGGGTGGTTGTCAGGCCCCTGTCGGCGATCCATGGGCGAATGGGGGTCGATGCATCCCCGCCGTGCCTCTCCAGCCCCCCATCGTTGCCCCTGGCCCCCATTCCCGCCACGGGTCCCGCCAGAGGCGCCCCTGGCACGACCAGGCCTCCCCAGGAAAGCCCCCGCCGCCTCCAGGCGCCAGGCGCGAGGCCCACCGTGGACTTCACATGGGCGGACATTGCGCGGGGCAGGGGGATGTCCGCCGACGCCCTACACAAAGGACCCGTCGTGCCCACACATTTGAGCAGGGACCGACCGTTCCGGCATTCCTGTAGGCCTACCACGACATGTTCTTACAATTCAAAGATGGTCTGAGAACAAGAACAACGTTCTTAGTAATTACATCAACCCGACGGGTTAAAGCAAGACAGTCCCAGCCAGAAAAGTTCTAGGAGCATTTCGTGCAAACCACCAAAAAGTTCTTGGAACCTTTTCTGGTGGGCCCATGGACAAGCCAGGACGCGTCGCCACTGCTTGACTCCTGGTCTCTTCCCCAGGACCGGCCTTCCATCCCGCATCGAACTCCGACGGTCCCGAAGTCTGGGATCGGCCGCAAACCAGCCGCCTCCACGTTTGGCTGCGGCGCCGGATTCCTGGGCATCGACGACCTACGGACAAGGGGTCCAGAAGCCGATGGGCCCCGCAGCTGTCCAGCGCTCCCCCAAACGGTGGCTGGCCTCACCGTCGGGCCTCCGCCAGCCTGCCGTCGCGCAGGCGCCGGGGAGCGCAGGAAAGGCGGGGAGGAACCGCCTTGAGCACGCCACGGAAGCAGTAGCCAGCGCACGGCCTCGCCACCAAGCAACCTTCACCGGAAGCCTGGCCGGCGGGGGTGGCCACCACGACCGCCGCCATGACCGCCACGGCCGGCAAGGATAGCCTCCACCGCGACCACCACCCCGACTCGCTACCACGGCTGCCACGAAGCCCGCGACCACTATCACGATTGCACTGCAGCCGCCTTCCAATCCAAACTGAAATGTCAAGCCCAGGGCTCGAGTTGACACCGCGTCGGGGCTGCTTTGTGGCCGCGACGCAGGGCATCGACATCTCCCGAAGGTTCCTGGTCGTCGCTGAGGCCACGCCGACGCAACTTTGAAGCCACTGTGAGGCAACATTGAGGCACTCGCGCAATCTAGGCCTCCACATTCCCCTGGCGTGATTCTCGTAATCTCCTCTTGGAGCCCCTGGCCTGCGTCGAGGCCACAATGAGGCCATGTCGAAGAGGCCAAACCAAAGCACCAACACCTCCCAGGAGTGAGTCCCGCAAAGTCTCCGAGGAGCTTTTGAGCCAACGTCGGGGCCCAGTTCAAGCCACGACGAGGCCCCTCGAGTTAGGGAGTCAACATCCACCAGACATGAGCCCAACGCAGTCCTCCGTGACTCTTGGCCAATGTTGAGACTACTCTGAAGCCTTCCCAACGGGGTCTTTACATCTCCCCTACTTGGATCGCCGCGGTGGTTTCTAAGGGGATGGGGTGTTTAGAAGTGGACACTAAAGTTGTCTTTATCTGGCCTAACCCTATTATATAAATGGGATACAAAAGCCCAATGTGGCTTAGGATGAGGAGGTGACTCCGCTAAGTGGTCTGCGGCTACTTAGCCCAGATCTGTACGCCCACACGCCACTTAAAGGCACGTGCAACCTATTTCTAAGCTGGGTCAGGCTGCATAGCACTCACCTTAGCATTCGCTTGTCATCCACTTGTATCCCCTATCCTCTTAGAAACCCCCGCGGTGATCCAAGTAACGTGAGTCCAAAAGACTCACCAGAAACCGCCGCGAACTACTGTGCGGACGCAGTGCCCTGGTCGCATCCCGCAACCCACATAGAAATTGAAAGCTGCATTGGGAAACTGCTGTGCGACAATCACTGTATATCACGACGACCACCACCCCAAACACTGCAAACCTTTGATCGGAGTCAGCTGACTGCCCCCCGCCCTCCCCCCGCTACCCCCCTTTCCTTTTCCTCCCTCTCCTTTGCTTGGCCGCTGGGCACTCGCTCATGCCCGGCCTCTGAGCAGGAGGGGGCGTGCAGGAGGGGAGGGAGGACGGAGAAGGAGGGATGGAGCGAGGGAGGAGGTGGGAGGGGGAAGGGGGATCGGTCGGAACGTCTTGGCAAGTTTGGACTGACCCAAGAACCTGCCGGATCAGCGCATGAGCGAATCGTGTTGAGCGCCTCAATTGTGCCGCTTCGACCGTGGCAAATTTGGCTGAAGGCGGCTCGGCATCGGATTCTGGGGAACAGCTTGGAAACCTCAATTCGATATGGAGTTTTTCTGTTTTTGAGGTTTTTGTTTCCGGCACTCTTCGACAAACTGCCCGCGACAGCAAGGCGAACAGAAGCAGTGAGGAGGGAGGGAGGAGGGACCGAAGAGGGAGGGACCGAGACCCCCGACGTCATGGTTTTTCATTACGTCTGCCCCCGGAGCCTGTGTTGACAGTCCCTGGGCCCAGCGAGTGCCCGCGCAGACAGAAGACTGCCCAACACCTCCCCGTAAGAAGACAGCAACGAAAGAAAGTGATTGTGTAGAGACCTCCAACATGAGTAGAGGGGGTCGGAGGATCGCGCAGAATCGCCGATCCATCGGCGATGGCGTGGTGAAAGTCGGGCTCCACATCGAGCCGCATCGCCGATGCATCTGCGACGCGGTGTGATCCTCCGACTCCATCTACTCGGACACCACTTGGGAGGCCTGGAGTCTGGGGAGTGGGATGGCGACGGGGCAAGGGATGGGACGCTGCTGCAATAAAATTCAACATGGCGATCAATCGTCACCTGATCCCTAGAATCTGGACTCCATGCTTTCTGAGCACCTTTTCAGCCAGACCAATCTGTAAAAGTCCCGGGGCCCGAAACCAAGCGACAACGCCAGGGGTGAACAAATTGCACCGCCCGGATCACAGGGAAGGAGCGCGGAGGGGGACGCGAGGGTGGAAGAACGGAGACCGAGGCCACCTGGACGCCGACCAGTACCACATACCTCCCGCGGTGCTTTTCTCGAAACGGGGAGAAGGAGGTATGGGGACGAAGGATGTCGACGCATTCTAGTGTTATGTCGGGCGTGTCCCCCTACAGGGGGATCTTCGACGAAACATTAAAAATACACCAAAAAGTACCCCAACAAGGTCAACAAATACCCAAGAAATAGTCCCCAGGCTATTTTTGAATTATGTTGTGGCTAGTTTTGGGGTATCTTGTATTTTTCGTCGAAAATCCCCCTGTAGGGGGACAGGCCCGACTTAATTCTAGTGGGGGGCGACGCATCGATCGCAGCGCGATCGCTTGGCCGACCCCCCTGGCCGTGGGAGCGCCGCGGCCGCTCCTTCAGCCGTTCCTGCTGCTCGGCGCCGTGCTCCTTCAGCGCCTCCCGTGGGGTGGGCTGGCGGGAGCGCCGCGCGGCTCTCGAGGGACGGAGGCCCCGCTGCACCGCTTCTTGTAATCCCTACCCCGGCTCTGCCTAGAAGGGTTCTTGATCGGTGTGCTGAAAAGGGCCGGGCAGTGTAAATCGCCCCGGGCGGCTCCCCCAGGATCCGCCCCGCGGTTCCCCCAGTTACGTCCACTCAGCTTAGCGTTGCTGATCTCATCTTAGCTTAGCCTATTTCATCTTAGCTCAGCATGGGTTCATCTTATTTGTCACAAATATATACACAATCAAAAACCATTCCCGCGCCGATGGGCCCGCGCCGCCGTCGCCCCCTCCAGTCGCCCGCTCTGCCTCTCGAGCCCTGGCAAGCTGCTCGCCAGAGCTGCGCGAGTTCAGCGTTTCGTTTATTCCCTACCTAACCTCTGCCTAGAAGGGCTCTTGCTCTCTATCTTAAAAGGGCGCGGCAGTGTAAATCGCCCCGGGCGGTTCCCCCAGGATCCGCCCGGCGGTTCCCCCAGCTACGCCCCCTTAGCTTAGCGTTGCCTATCTCATCTTAGCTTAGCCCCATCGCATCTTAGCTTAGCTTAGCTTCATCTTAGCTCAGGTTGATTTTCGCTTAGCTTACATTCATCTTAACTTCGCGGAGCTTTAGCACAGCATATCACAGCATAGCATAGCGTAACACAGCATCGCAACTTAACTTAACTCAACAAAGCGCAGCGCTGCATTAGCATACCATCTCATATCATACCATAGCCAATCCGATCATAACATGTCATATCATAACGTAACGTTACGCAGCATAGCCTAGCATAACATATCATACCATAACATAGTATAGCGCCGATCCGCATAGCATAGCATCGCTTAGCATAGTCTATCATAGCACAACATGACATATCATAACATATCACATCATAGCAAAGCAACACATCGCATACTATAGCGCATCATATCATAACATAGCATAGCATATCAACTAATGCTGTTTTCCTAAGGGGCTCCAACTTCTAGGTCGGGTCGCATTGGGGTAATCTCTGTTGCGGGCAAGGGGGGGCACATAATGGAACAAGCAGCTGTCTCCGTTGGCAAGCACTCCCAGACATGATCGCGTCTTTTTGAATTATTATAAAAAAGACAAGAGGTTTTGGGCGATTTCGGCCGCGGGGGGCTCTCGCCGGGCCTCGGGACCCTCAAAAAACGACTCAGGATGACAAGCCAGCCACGGGGAAAGGGTCGGGACGTCGCATGTCTGGGCTGGGAACAGACTACTGCACTTTTTACGTCGCAGAGCGGCAGAGGCAATCCGCGCACGCGTCTGGGCAGGACCAGTGCGCGGGATCGCGAATTCATCCGCGTGCAGGAAGAGGGGCGAGGGGGCGAGGGGGCGGCCGCGGAGAGGGGAACCCGGCGCGAGGGCACTCTCACGCAACGGGGTTGCGGCGAGCGCGCGGGGGCGGCCAGGCTGAAGGGCAGCCCCTGGCAGCTGTCGCGGAGCGGCATGGCGATGCACCAATGAGCGGGGCCAGCTGCCGCAGTGCGGGCGGAGCCCGGCAACTGGGGGACGGGGGAGCCGCGGGCGGCCGGAGAACCGGGGCGCCAGGTGGGGGGGCAGGCAGCGGCGTGGGGACTGGCGGCGTGCCAGGGGCGCATTGCGCTGACGCTGCAGCAGCTGCGAGAGCGGCCCCGAGGCGCAGAGCGGCGGGCGGGCCAGTGGCGAGGCGCGACTGGGTGGCCGGGCAGCAAGCCGCGGGGGCGCGGTGCACGGGGCAAACGGCGGAGAAGCGAACGCCATCCCGAAGCTGGCGCACGGCATCACAGCTCGGGAGTTGGCGGAACCCAGTGGAAGTGACGCACGGTCGGGGCTCCCACGAGAGGAAGGAGAGGGGCAAGCCCGTCGGGGGCCGTCCGAGGGAGCGCCGAGGAAGGCGACCACCAGAGGCAAGGAAAGCTGGTGGCACACCGCACGCACGCAGAGAACCGTGCCGCATGCCAAATCGGGGATTCACTGGCCAGGTCAATGCAAACCCGGGTCAGTCGGGCCTTGCAGGATGTCCAGGATCCTGCAGGATCCTGCACCCAAACCCGGGTCAGTGCGCCCCTAACCCTGCAGGATCCTGCCAGATGCGGCGCCCTGGCCGACCCCCGTTTGCATTGACCCCCGTCTCGAGGCTCCCGACGAGGCAGCACGGGCAGGGGCCCGGGGCGGAGGAACAAAAGCGGGAGGTGAGCGGCAACGGCGGCCACCCCCAAGCGGGGCAGCGCAAGCTGCGGACAGGGCCGAGGCCACCCTGCAAAGCGCTGGGGCTGCGGGAGCGGGCGCCACAGCAGGAAACGGCCCAGCGCGCGCGGCTCGGGGAGGCAAGAGCAGGAGGCGAGCCGCAAAGGCGGAGACCCCCAAATGGGGCTTTCACCATGCTGCACACGTGGTGGCAGACCTGGAGCGAACAGCCCCGGGGGCAAACATGCACATGCACATGCAGTGAACGGCCCCTGCGCTGTACACGTCACAGCGTCACAAGGGGAAAGAGGACGGAGGGGGTGAAGAAGCGAGGCACCGCGGTGCTCTGCGCTGTGCTGCACTGCTGTGACCTGGTCCAGCACTGCTCTGCATGGCCCCAGGCCGCCCACCTTCGCGCACCGTGCCCCGCGGCGCGCGACCGTCTTCGCGCCCTCGCGCCCTCGCGCCGCCCCCTCGGAGAAGGGCAGCCGCTCGGGCCAAGCCCGCGCGCGGCTCGCGATCCGGACTGCCCTGCATCGCCCTGCTCACGAGCGGCGAGCACCTCCACGCCCGCGCCCCTCGCGGTCTGCACGCCGGGTTCGCGGCGCCCTGGGTGCGCGGCCTCGCACGGCCTCGCTCCGCGAGACGCCTCCGCGGAAGCGCGCGCCGTGTCCGTGGGCTCGCAGCACGGGGGGCCTGCCCGCGAGGCCGCGGACATGGCCATGCTTCCCTCGCGCGAAGTGCGCGTTTGCGAATTTGGACCATTGTTTGCTGCTGGGGGGTAAGTTCTGCCGGCGTTGGGGCGCATTGCTGCACCTGCGTGGAATTCCATGGGATTGTATCACTGGTGGGGCACATGCCGCCGCCCCCACCCATTTCGGTCACTGTGTGCTGTATCGGTGTTCATTCAATTCCCAACCATCCTGCGGTGTTGGGTCCTCGTTTTGAATCAGTAGCGCCCCGCGTTCTTATCTCCCTCCTTCCTTCTTCTCCTCCCTCTTCCTTCCCCTCCTCCCCTCCTCCCTCCTCTCTTCACCCTCCTCCGCATGCCCACCCCTCAGGCGTTACACTGCCCCATAAGAAACTCCACGTATGGCCATATGGGGGAAAGAAAGAGGGCACGCACATGCCGCCGCCAAACCCCTTTCAGCGCACATGATACACGTCAGGCGGCCCCATCGGGAGCTCCACCGAAAGCCCCGGTGGGTGCATCCACATGCTGCCGCCACGTCGGGTTGGCCACACCACTTGGCTGGGCCAATGTTTGCCACCACGTCGACCGCCAAAGGCCCATATACTAATACCCCTTCCCCGGCTTTTCACCCCCCTCCAGGGCCCCCCTGAAGCCGAAAACTGACAGAAACCACACGTCGTGTTTTTGTTCGCGACGGACGGAGCTGGGAAGGGATGGGCAAGCCAGCAGGATGAGGCAAGCATGGGGAATGGAGAGTACTGGAAGGGGGGGGTGGGAGGGATGGGGGGGAGAGGGGAGATGGGAGGACGGGAGAAGGAGAACAGAGGAGGGACCAGGGGGAGGGAGGGAGGGAGGGAGAAGGGAGCAGCAAGGATGCAGGACTTGATCTTGGGGCAAGGGAGGGGGGCGCAGGAGAGAAGAGTGGATGCGGAGGGCGGAGCTGGGAGCAGGGGAAGAGGCGGCGAGACGGGAGTCTCGCGGCCTTCCTGTGCTCCTGGGCATCGAACTTCTTCTTCTCCTCCAGCAGCTCCAGCTTCTGCTTGGCGAGGAACTCCAGGATGTGCTCCTCCGGCAGGACCCGAGGTCGGCGGCCGCCGCCCCTCCTCCTCCTCCTCCTCCTCCTCCTCCTCCTCCTCCTCCTCCTCCTCCTCCTCCTCCTCCTCCTCCTCCTCCCCCGCCTCCGCCTCCTCCTCCTCCTCCTCCCCCTCCTCCTCCTCCTCCTCCTCCCCCTCCTCCTCCTCCTCCTCCTCCTCCTCGAATCCACGTGTTCGTATCCATGGCCTCGCGGGCCCGGAGCCCCGGACCCCGCAGATACTGGGCGCTGCTTCGTGGGTGCCACGCACGGAGCGCAGCCCACCGCGCATCCACGGGATCGCGCGCCGGATGCCAGCCCGCGCGGGCGTGGGTATGGAAATACGTCTGCCGCACTGGAGGAGCCCGCGCACGGGGGGGTGCGGAGGCGAGGACAGGAACCCGTCCGAACACGGCGGGAATAGGGACCAGGATGAGGAGCAGGAGGTGGAGCAGGGAACGGTGGAGGAGGAGGAGTAAGAGGGCGAGGAGGAGGAGGAGGAGGAGGGGGAGGAGGAGGAGGAGGAGGAGGAGGAGGAGGAGGAGGAGGGGGAGGAGAAGGAGGAGGAGGAGGAGGAGGAGGAGGAGGAGGAGGAATGCCCATAAGCGCCCACACGGCGACGCCTGAACCGATCAACGAAGCCGACGTCGAGCACGGCGGAGCAGCAGCCCCCGCCAGGAACCGCCACCGTGACCCCCTGGCCCGCTGAGGCGTCGCAGAACACCACGGGCTGTCGGGTATGGCCCGTGTGGTCGTCTAAGAAAGGCGCCCCCCTCGCCACATCCAGCCCCGTGCATCGCCTCCCCCCTTTCCTTCGTGAAGAACAGTAGGGCCCTTCTCTCGAGGTTACGCCACGCTTTCTCTCTCTCTCTCTCTCTCTCTCTTTTTGTTTTCTCTCTCTATCTCTGAAACAGTGCTCCCGAGGCCACGACCCCTTGTACAAACACGATGGGTCGGGACTCCCACGGCCACGACATCTGGTAAACAAACTATGGACCCTGGCCCATGAGGACGCGATGGCCCCCCCAATAACTATGGACCTGCGCTCCCGTGCTTCCAAGACGACCGAGGCAGGCCACCAAGGCGGCCAAGACGGCCCCATACGGCCAAACGACGGCCCCCAAGATGGCCTCAAGACGGAGGCCTCCAACACGGCCGAATAGGGCTACAAGAGAACCCCAGCACGGAGGCAGGATGGTCAAAACCGTTCATGCCCCCTTAGCCTTTACATGATGTCCCCTGAATGGCAAATTGATCCTGCAAGACGGCCTCAAGGCAGCCAAAGAGGGCCCCAATCGGCCCGAAGCGAGCCGCAAGCTGGCCCAAAAGGGCATCCAGAGGGACCCAACACGGCGTCAGTAAGGACCTCGATGGCCTACGACGGCCGCAAGAGACACCCTATACGGCCAAGAGGGTCCCAAGACGGCCCAATAGAGCCCCATGGACAGCATCGAGACGTCCCAAAGTGGCCCAAGGGACCCCCAAGACTGCCCGCAGGAGCCCGACAAAAGGACAGAAGAAAGGGAGGACAACGACGGAGATGAGAAGAGAAACCCCTACACGACGCGGAAACAAATGTGTGTGTGTGTGTTACATGTTACGGCCTCCTCTAATCCCTCGAACAGTCGCCACCCCGAATGCTGGTCTGGCACGAGGGCGGGACTCGCCGCAAGCAGCTGGATATATCCACATCCACCGCGTTGGGGTCGTGCTCCCGAAGGTGGAAACTATCCACATCGGCAACTTGGCTCTGCGCACAAGGAGGTACGGAGAGGGGGGAAAGCTCCTTGAGAGACTTCGGGAACTGCTGGATCCTGCATCCAAGCCCAGGTCACTGCAGCCCTGGCCCTGCAGGATCCTGCAAGATTCAGCGCTCTGGCCGACCCCCATTTGCATTGGCTGGCCCCATGTCTCTTGAGCCCCGAAGACTGCTTCTGAGAACGCGCCAGCCTTACATCTATACATAAGACCCGCGCCTTCTAAAAAGCAACCTTCTTCTATGAAGCCGTCCCCCCTCCACCGTACCCCAATTGCGCGAGGCCGACCCACTCCTCGGGGTCACAGGGTACGACTCCGCAGCAGTGAATGAGGACGATCTAGTTCGACGGTGGACGGGATTAGCGCAGAAAGACTCAACGACGCAGCAAACGGCCGAACCGAGCCGAACCGATGTAGCCGACCGCGAAACCGCCGAAACGACCGAACCGTGGACGCCCGTGATCCCCCTTCGGGCAGAACTTGGCGAAGCGCCCGACGAGCATCAGCGTCAGCGGGCCGTAGCGGCTTGCAGGGCCAATTCGCTGCTCTTATCCTGAGGGGGAGCGATCGGAGGGACCAGCTCTGGGGGGGGGGGGGGAACATCGAGCTGGAATCGAAACCACATCGCCGATAGATCGGAGATGGCGGCAGGTCCCCGATAGCGTGTCCGCACGTCTCCGGGCGGGACGGGCAGTCGGGCGCCCTTTCCGACGAGGAGTGCGCCACCGGGGGTCGACGCGTCTCCCCCCGAGTCAATCCCACCCGAACACTGCCCCGGAGACCCCCGCAGCCCCCCCCCACCACCCTCTTGCGTGCGTCCCCTTAACCTGCTCCCCCCCAGCCCAGACCTCCCCTCCGCCCTGCGGTGAACGAGTGCTCCCAAAGGGAAAGCGACCACGGAGCGCACCAAGCCGCGCGCGCCTCACACAGCAGCTGGCGCTGCGATTCGGATCGCGTTCTCGTTGAAGTCGCGAGGCGCAGCCGGAACGAGGATCAAGGAGGAAGAGGAGGAGGAGGAGGAGGAGGAGGAGGAGGAGGAGGAGGAGGAAGAGAAGGAGGAAGAGGTGGACAAGGAGGAGAAGGAGGAGGAGGAGGAGGAGGAGGAGGGAGGAGGACGTGCTTCCAATGCAGGAACGGTGGATCATGCTTGGAAGACGTCCGGAGCTTCGTGAGCACAGTGGAGCCTCAAGTGGCCCGCTGAGAGCGACGGTGCGAGCCCCTACCGCCCCTCCCAGGAGAAACACTGCCACACATCTGATCGGGGGCGTCCAAGACGGGGGCGCGCAAACTATGACCCGAGGCATGTGCGCGGCCCAGGCGGGTCGGGGGACTCATTCAAGTAAGATGAGGCGCCATGAAGCCTGCGGAGATATATCATGGCTCTCGCCACGATATCTCCCCCCACCCCTAATCATCACCCCCTCTTTGCCGTACCCGATTGGGGGGCTCCACGCCGCTGGGTTCCTGGCGTGGCGGCGCGTGACTCTCTCGGGCCCAAAGAGGGCTCCACCACGGAGGCAGAGGGCTCCAAGACGCCCCCAAGACGGTCCAAAGAGGGCACCGAGTCGCCAAATGATCGCTCCACGACGCTCCAGATGGCCGGGCGCCCCTTCAAGAGGCCCCCAAGAGGAACCAAGGGGCCCAAGGAGGCCCACAGGATGCCCCAAGAGGCCCCAGAACGGCCCCCAAGAGGCGTCCAAACTGCCTTCAAGAAGCCCTCGAGGCGCCTCCCACCAGATCTCAACGAACATCAAATAGGCTTCATACCCACTACCCACGCACGGTTGTGGGATGTGCCGAATGCTATTAGATATCAGATCCAGCACAAACAAACTTGTACTCCATCCTAAAACACTCCTGCTCCAGATCCTTGCCCCAGCGGAGCCGCTGGCAGAACTTACACGGACCCTCATGAGACCCCTGAAGAATCTAGAATGAGCAACTCCAAAATTGCCATCGCCCAACACCATCCCATGCCATGCCCACCTCGATACGGAGGACGGAGGAGCGGGGAGGGACGATGGTCTTGAGAAGAAAAGAGAAAAGGAAAACTGCGTTATGATTATGAGTGACATGAAGAAGCGGAGGGCGATCGGATTGGCATGTGTAAAAGAAGGGCAAGGAGGACGACGGGGAATACTATGATGACGACAAGGGTGAGGACGAGGCGGAGGCCGACTACGAGAGGGACAGGTAGGGTGAGGAGGGGCACGAAGAAACCAAAGAGCGATCAAACTGGCTTGGGGTCTGGCGCTTTCTGCCTGGCTCTAGAACGCGTCGAAAGACGGCTGCCTTCTACTCCGCGGCGTGAGCCCACGCATCAAAAGCATACACGTGTGTGAGCCTGTCTACGGGTGCGCTCCCATCCCCGCATGCGCGGCCTTGTCGTAGATATACCCTTCGGGGGTGCTCACCTGGCCACGCCGACCCAACCGAAGAAAGGGGTATCCGCATCGTCGTCGTCGTCCTCCTCCTCCTCCTCCTCCTCCTCCTCCTCCTCCTCCTCCTCCCGTCTCCCATCCCCGTCACCCAGCGAGACATTCCTCAGTCGGGAGCCGCAGCTCGCTGGCCCTAGCAAGGGGGGAGAGGGGCAGACATTCATCTATCATGCTCCGCCGCCGCCTCCACCTCCAGCTGCTGGGCTTTGGCCTCCTCCTCCTCCTCCTCTTCCTCCTTCTTTCCCTCTCCTCTATCTTCCCCTCCGGAGGGAGCGCCGCACCCGACAAATGTCTTGCGCAAGCGGCTATTGGCGGGAGCCCTCGACGGAGCGCCGAGCGAATGGCGAGGAGGACGAGGCGAAGCTCGCCGACGCACGGAGGCGCGTAACGCCTCCTTCACCTGACGCGTGGCACAGCTCAGAAAACTTCCCTCTTCGCGTCCGGCTTGCCCTGGCGGGGCTCCGAACGCGGCTCCGCACAGGAAAGCGACACGGAAGGCTCCGGCGCCTCCCTGGCAGAGCTGCGCAACGGGTCCCCCGCTGCCCACTGCCCCACGGGTAGAGCCTGCAGTCTTGGGTGTCCTGCTCGCGGGGGCCTTCAGGGAGTCCGCGGGGATATGCAGGGGTCCAGGGGATCTCCTAGCGAATCCCCCTGGGGATCCTCAGAATTGCTGAGGGATCCCAATGATGTCCCACGGACATTCCATTGCTTCCAACAGGATTCTATCAATAATCTGATGGTTGTCAAAAGCCATTCTAGGCTGCCCGAATAACCCCAAAGAGTTTCAATGGATTCCTCAAGATTTCATCAGGGGCTCCCAATATCTTACAATCTGTGCCGAGAAATTCCGATGGAATCCTCAGGATTACTTCGGCATCTCAAAGCAATTCCTCATCAAGAATCCCGCTGGAGGTCACCATGCATGCTGAACAAGTCGTACGGAACCTTCAGAATTCTAAGGGGTGCCCTGCGAATCATGCCATGAGGAAGTCATGACCAATCTTCAGCATCTCCTCAGGAATCCGTGAGATTTCTCTGGCAATCCTAACGACTTCCTTCATGATCCTGAGGAGTCGATGCGGACTCCGTGAACGTGTCCTGAGGAGTCGGAGGGATCTCGCAGTGCGTAGCTCGCGGCGGGATCCGCCTTTCCAGCTCCTCGAGGCGCCAACCCTCCTCCACCTCCTCCTTCGTCTCCTCCTTCTCCACCTCTCCCGATCCCCCTCCTCTTACCGCTCCGGGGGGGGGGGGGGGCGCTGTTGCCATGCCACTACATGGTTACCTCCCTGGGGGGCTCCAGATCGTCTGGCTGGGGCCATTCTTTCCACCCAGGAGGCAGCTTACTCTCTCCGAGGGCACCGATGGCCCTCCCCCTGTGTTTGGGGATGGGGTGACTGGCATTGCAGGGCTTCCCCAAAATGAAGAAATTGCTGGCCCCGACCCCTCCGTAGACACGGCACCAGAAAAAACACGGTACCTCATGAGCCTGTGGGTTGGGTCCAAGCCAAGGGGCACCCACGGCACGAGGCTCTCAGCCACTGCAGCCTCGGGCATGCTGCAGTGGGGCGCCCGCGGCAGGCTTCACACGAAAATCCTCTGGGGGATTGCCTCCACTGGGGGGAGATGCTCCTAAATCCTGGTGTTGGTGGCAACGTTTCGGCCACTTAGGAAGCCCGGGTATTGACACCATCACCGACATCGGGATCATCTTGCCTCGGTGGAGGCACACCGCCGATATTGGTGTTGGTGTCAACCTCTAGGCCTCCGGCAACAAGTACCGATACCGCTACCCCCCAGACCTCTCCCAGGGCACGCTCTGACCAGGATTTCGAGGCGAATCCAGCGGCGGCAACGAGGGCCTCCAAGGAGGCCCCAAAGAGGGGAAAATCGGGCGAGGGGGGTAAAGGTATGGGTACCTTTTCCTTCGTGCCCCCCTTTGCCTTCCTCCTCCTCCTCCTCCTCCTCCTTAGCCGTTCTGGGAGGCGGTGCGCTTCCTGCCCAACAGGCTCCGAGCACCGCTTGGGGCCGCAGCGGCGGGAAGCCATGTCTGCAGGCCACTGCTCGGGTGCTGGCAGAAGTGCCGCTGGCCCAGGGTGCCCCCAGGATTTCCATGGAGGCCCCCGCGGCCCGTCTTGTGGCCCTCTTGGGGCTTCTGGGGCCGTCTAGGGACGATCCTCGGGGCCTCTTTTGGACCGTCCTGGGCAGTTCTTGGCCCGAAATGGCGAAACATCGAACCAAACATATGTCAACCTAAAGAAAATCAGTGTTTCTTGTCTCCTCAGGCCCTCTTGGGGGTCCTCTTGGGGGCCTCTTGGACCCGCTTGGGGTCCTCCTGTGCCGTCTTGAGGCCATCTGAAGCCACCTTGGAACGCTCTTAGGTGGTCCTGGGCTTTCTTGGGCCACGTTGGGCCGTCTTGGAACCCTCTTCGAGTCCTCCTGGACCCTTCTTGGCTCGTCTTGGGCGCTTATTGGGACGCGCCTCTTGGGCCGTCTTGGGGGAGGGGGGGCCTGGCAATTAGATGCCGCTCGTCCGCGCGTCGCCCCTCCCCGGGACCCCTCCCTGGAGGGCGTCGCCCCACCAAAACGTCATCACTCGCACCTCGCTTTTTCCGTTGTCCGCCGCCCCCCATGCTTGTCACAAAAGGTGCCCGGCGTATCAAACTTCAGGACGTCTCTTGTTTCTGAAAACTCCCCTTGGGGCTTTGGCATAGCGCGCCGTCCACCCGGAAAGCTTGCCTGGTTGCGTCTGCTGTCGGCTTTTCCGCTGAAGATGGCCTTCGAGACGGACAATATAGCCTATCAGACGGCCAAGAAGGGCCCCAAGAGAACCTTAGATAGGTCCAAGATAGCTTTCAAGATGGTCCGAAGATGCCTCGAAGACCGCTCGGATGGTCCAAAAGGGCATAAGACGGTCCACGGAGCGTCCAAGAGGTCCCCAAGACGGCTCAGAAGGCCTCAAATAGGTCCTCAAGAAAGGCCCGAGGAGGCCAACATTATTCATTTACCACAAGTATTTGACGGATGATGGCATGTGAATATGTTCGACCATCCGACGCCCCCAAGCAAGACAGCCCAAGAACCCCCCACGATCGCCCAAGAAGCCTCCAAGATGGCCCCGTAACGGCCCAAGAGGCCCCCAAGACGGCCCCAAGACGGCCCCAAGAGGGCCCCAAGCCGGCCCAAGAGGCTCGAAGAAGTTCTCCAGGAAAGCCCGAAGAGACCCAAAGCCTTGCTTTCCCAGAAGTGTTTGACGGATTTGGGCATCTGCTTTTGTTCGGCCTTTCGACTGCCCAAGACAGCCCAATCGCCCCAAAAGATCGCCCAAAAGGCCACCAAGATAGCCCAGTACCAGCTCAATAGGCCCCCAAAACGGCCCCAAGACGGCCCAAGAGGCTCCAAGACGCCCAAGATAACCTCCAAGACCGCCCTCAAGCGGCCCAAGAGGGCCCCAAGATGGCCTAAGACGGTCCAGAATGGTCCCCAAGACGGCCCCCGACGGCGTCAGACGGGCCAGGAACGCCCTAACACGGTAGAAGAAATCCCCGAGCAGCCCCGAAAGCCCCCAAGAGGCCTCCAAGAGGCCCCCAGAAGCTCTCAGAAGGCCGAAGAGTGAACTAAGAAGCTCCCCACAGGTTTCCTTATCCTGCTCGTAATCCTCCTTGTTCCTCCATCTCCTCATCCTCCTATTCATCCCCCACGTGTTCCCCGCAAGGATTTCAAAACGGCTGGGGGAGCGCATGGTCCAATAGCGTGGCCAAACTTGGCTTCTTTGTTTAGACACATAGGCGTATCCTGAAAGGCAGGGGGCGGCGGTGTTTCGCCGTAGGCGTCTTCCATACCGTGAAGGGCACACTGATGCCTTGAATTGCTCAGATCCTGATTCCTACAAGCAGAATTCAAATTCCAAATGCCGACCCATTTCGGACATGCATGAGCTATTCCAATGCCATAAGAACGAATCCGACTCTAAAACTCTGTGCTCCACTGGCTTACGATCTGTCTGCACTCATGCTGAAGCAGAAGGGACGACCCCGCCCAGTCGCCGGGTTCTTGGGCGGCTTGAGGGACAGGGCGCAGTACCCGAACGGAAGGAAGCAATCGCTCCCGAGGACCTCTCCAGACAGCCAACATCGCCAGGGTGCAGCAGCACTCAAAAACCAGCGCAGGGATGGAAATGAAAGGAGGTAAGCATGTTCAGAGGAGAAATGGAGACCACCACCATCGACGACCATCCAGAATTCATCGCGGGAGATGAGGGGGGGGGAATCCCTTGGCGGTGGCACGCCTGAGCGTCGTCTGGTACTGAGGGACGCTCGGCGGCAGTACCAGTAGTTGGCGACGCTCAGTCGTGCCACCACCAATGGGTCGTGATGGGTTCTCGGCGGCTGTGGTCCCTGTGCCTCCTCTGGAACGCCTCCCTCTGGCAATGGATGGACCTCGTCCGTGGGTGCATATCTGGCTGTAAATTTTATTTGGACGCACGAAGTGGGTACGGAATCAAATGGGTCCACATGTTGCCCAAAATCGGCAACGGCCGCTGTTGGGCAATCGACCTTCTGACTCGAATGGAGTACGACCGAGGCGGCACCGACAGCGAGACCTGTCCAAACTGGGGATGATCAGATGCTGGCATTCGTCGTCCCTCTTTCCGTGCCAACTCAATCATACCAGATAAACTTCGGCCTCCTCCCCCCCCCCCCTCCCTTGGGTGTCTTTTCCATGGCAGCCTGCCTGGCCCCCAGCGCTGTCCGATTTGGGTCTGATTTGGACCAGATTCGCACTTTTGCAAGGGAGGCTGAAAGACCGAGGAGGGGGAGGAGCAACAGGAACAGCGAGTAGGAGCAGTAGGGCGGGCCAAGTGCTGCCCACATTCAGAAACAACTGATTGAAATGTCGCTGCCCAAGGCCCCCTATGAACGAACACCGAACCCTCCGTCTTTCCATCCTCGTGACTTCGGCTGCCCGAGACCTCTTTGCGGGTCCCCGCGAAGCCGGCCTCCGCGCGCTCCTTGTAAGTGTAGCCCGCTTGCCCCCGCCAGCGGGGGCAGATGCCGCGCGAGATGGCCGGGCTCCCGAGAGCGTGTCCGCAATGTTCCTCCTCCTTCTCCTCCTTCTCGTTCTCCTTCTCGTCGTCGTCGTCGTCCTCCGTCTCCTCCTTCAACCCATCATTATTTTTCTTCACCCTCTTCCCCTCACTCCTCATCCTCATCCTCACCAAATCTCCGGTTGAATCTAAGACTCGGGTCACAACTCGGAGAACCCGTCCGGCTCATGCTCCTCGTTCTTCGTTCTCCTCCTATTTATCCTCATCGTCCTCACGCTGCTGATCTCCCTCCTCGCTCTCCTAGACTTCTGTCTCCATCCTCCTCCGTCCCAATACTCTTCAGTCTCTTCCTCCGCCACCCACGTCATCTTCGTTACCGTCATCAACTTTACCCTTGTCATGGTCCTCGACACCCTTCTCGTCTGCATCGTCTTCTTTGTCCTGATCCTCCCTCACACTCTCGGGCTCCGCGTTCATGTCGTCCTATTCATGCTCTGCAACCTCGACGTCGCCGTTACTGGAATGGACGTCTTCCTCGCTCTCCTCCTCCTCCTTCTCCTCCTCCTTCCCGTCGGCATACTCGTCATCATCCCTCCGCTCCTGATCCATCCCATCCTCCACCTCCTCCGCCTCATACGTCTCCTCCACGCCTCCTCCTCCTCCTCCTCCGCCTCATCCTCATCCTCATCCTCATCCTCACCCTCCTCCTCCTCCTCCTCATCACCATCATCACCATCATCACCATCATCACCATCATCACCATCATCATCATCATCAGCAGCATCATCAGCATCATCAGCATCATCATCAGCATCAGCACCAGCATCATCATCTCTTGCCAGCGTCCCCTCTCCCTGCTCCTTATGCCTTCATCATACTCCAGTTCCTCATGCCCGCTGTTCTGTTCGCTGTTCGTCGGATCAACGACGTCTGGCTGCGCCAGCCACTTTGCTCCACGAGTGCTGGCGCTCAGACCTCGTCCCCCTTCGGGATGCTTCGCCCACCTCTGTGGGAGAACGCGGGATGCGCAACGGCTTATGTCGAGAACCATCCTCCGCACGGCCCCCCTCCCCCCGCCCCTCCTGCGGGGCGAGGCTGCGGACCCAGGGCGCGGTCGCGCGGCAGGACGGGGCTCGGCGCCCGCAGCGCGGGCGCGCCCCCCGGAGGCCATCGAAGCGGTGACGGGCACAAAGGCCATCGGAGGCCCCGCGCCCCGGCGGCCGAAGCGAAACGGCGCAGACGGGCGTGGCCAGCGGAGGCAGCCCCGAAGGGCCGGGGAGATCGGCAGGAACCGGTGCGCTGCGCCTGCAATCGCCATCACTCGGACGTCCATTCCCTGTGTTTTTTTCGGTTTCGGGCGTGGTTTTATTCGTCAAATGATCAAGGATGCTCCTCGAGGGCCCTCGCCGAAGGAAAAATGCACACGTCCGAGCGATGCCAAGTGCATGGGTGCTGCGCACGTGGCGACTGCTCCTCGACGGTGATGGCGCACCCTGGCCCGAAGAGTGAACAGAAGCATTTCAGGGAGAGGAGGGGAACAATAATGGTGGGACTGAGGTCACCCGACCACGAGTCGCTCCCTCCAGTGTAGTACGGTCGTATAGCTTGCGGGGGCCGAGTGTAGAAGCCATGCATCCCTCTTCGGGCTCTAAGTATGGTCCCTGCGGCAGGGCAACAGATACTCCTCCATCCTTCCATCCATCAATCCTTCCCCATTACCTTTGAGCACACTCATCGCGATCACCCACGTCAGCCCCGTCCTCCTTCTCCCCGCTAATCTCGCCAGACAAGGCAGATAGCGAACGCATGACCACGCGATTCCCGCATGCGCTAAAAGCGAGAATACCTCACACCAGTATCGTTGCGACCAGGGCTACTCCCTGACTGCCCTGCCACTGCCCAACCCTGGTAGATGTCCTTTGACACGACTGGTCCACAACTCGGTGGTCGGAGTGTTCTCTTTGTGATCGCAAAAAGCAACACGTTCCGACGCGGTGTTGGGGAGTTTGTTTCTTCCATGCCACCTTGAGTTCCAAGAGCGGTCACATGTGAACTGTAGGTGTCTTGATTTCGTGCAGGGAACTCACTTGACCAACCTGGGAGATCACTCACCATGGCTCGAACCATCAATCGACACTCGCAAAATTTGGAAACGACACATCCGTGTCTGAATCTTGCGCAGGGAAAGCTAGCGGGAGCGGAAGACGCCAGTCTCGTGAAAACGATCTGTCGTTGGAGTGCTGCGAATGCTTCACCATCCCAAGCCGGCGCCGCTCACTAACACGACTGGTGAAACTTGATCTGTAAACGATGAAGAACAGCGGGATGCATTCCGCAGAAACGGCAGCGATGAGACCCAGGCCGCATGACAACGACATAACACCTGTGGGCTTTAGGCCGCTGCATGGCGCAACCACGCAGCTGGACGTCGAACACCATCCCCCAAACTTGATAACACAAACAACGAGACTGACCTAAGTGTAACGCTACGCTGGGCCACAACTCCATCCCACCCTCCCTGAAAGCATGCCACCGTTGCGTCAGGAAACAGTAACACCGCTTGAAACAGGGGGGGCTGGTGAGGCAGGATGCATGGCAACGATGAACCTCCGCCTTCGGATGCCAAAGCTCCCAGGACGGGGCGCTAGCTAGAAGCATTACATGGCCGATGTCTGAAACCCTGCGCCCAAACATGTTGTCATCTCTTGGGGCGCATCCTTTACGTCCGCCGCCTTCCGCCGGCCTTCCGCTGGAAGACGCGGCCTCGCTTTGCATCCGCCGCCCTCCGCCGGCGTTCCGCCGCCATCCGCTGAGGAAGAGATGGCAACTCCCTCGATCCTCGCAGTCAAGGCCCTGACTGGAGCGCTCCACATGGAAGCCTGATGGACAAGCGAGGCTGTGCACCTCGGCACACTGCCCGCCCACGCATCTGCTACCCACTGCTCCCTGGCCAGGCCCAGCCTGAATCCAGCAGCGGTGTCTATGCCACGCCCTCCTGGCTTGGCCAGGAGGGCGGATGCATGGCGTCTGGGTTCAGGATGGGCGTGGTCAGGGAGCAGTGCATATGTATAGATTTCGTCGACCGATACCAGACAACTCTAACCCAACCCGAAGACCCGAAATTCGGGTGGGGGGGGTACGGGCTCCCTCTGTGAATGTTCAGCATGTTCCCCGACCCCCACCCACTGGGAACGGAGGGCAAACTGAGGTCTCCGGGTTTGGTTAGGGGGGGGGGTGCTGGGTGGTGAGGTCCAGGGCGAGGAGCCTGATTTTTGGAGCGCTCCCCATGGAACTCTTACAGACAATGAAGCCGTGCACCTCTGCCCGCAGCTATAAGAATCAGAGCGAGAGGCAGACATGCTCTCTCCTCCTCCTCCTCCTCCTCTTCTTCTTCCTCCTCCTCCACCTTTTTTGGAGTTGGCCATACATGAAGCGCGAGCTTGTTGCGTCGTGAGAAAGAAAGTGCGAAGCCTCAAGGGATCAAAAATGACGCCAGGCTGGCCCAACGGCAAAAGAAGAGGCGTGAAGAGATAGAAAAAGACAGTGGGCCCGCAAAGGCATAGAGTAAGCGCCAGCCAGGCGGTGAAACCCCTCTCCTCCTCCTCCTCCTCCTCCTCCTCCTCCTCCTCCTCCTCCTCCTCCTCCTCCTCCTCCTCTTCCTTTCCTCCTCTCCTCTTCCTCCTCCACCTCCTCCTGCCGCTCCTTCCTTCTCCTCCGCCTTCTCCTCCTCCTCCTCCTCCTCCTCCACCTCCGCCTCCTCCTCCTCCTCTCCTCCCCCCTCCTCCTCCTCCTCCTCCTCCTCCTCCTCCCCCCTCCTCCTCCTCCACCTCCTCCTCCTCCTCCTCCTCCTCCTCCTCCTCCTCCTCCCCCTCCTCCTCCCTCCGCCCCTGTCGGCCCAAAGCCGAAGGCCGCAGCGCAGACGGCACACGGGCCGCGGCGTGCGCGCAGGCTGAACGGGCGGGTCGTCGGCGACGGGCGGTGGGCGACGGGCCGCGGGCGCCCGCGGGGCGGGCCCTCCCAGGGATTCTTAACACGCGAAGAACGGTATAAAAGATTTGTTTTCGCTGTCGGGGGCGCCTGTCCCTGGGCGGCTGGAAAGTTTATACCCTTACGGTGCCACGGTAACGGTGTAAACTTTTCAGCCGCCCAGGGACAGGCGCCCCCGACAGCGAAAACAATTATTTTATACGTTTTTCAGAACGGTATAAAATAAACTTTTTCGCTGTCGGGGGCGCCTGTCCCTGGGCGGCTGAAAAGTTTACACCCTTACCGTGGCACCGTAAGGGTATAATCTTTCCAGCCGCCCAGGGACAGGCGCCCCCGACAGCGAAAAAGTTTATTTTATACCGTTCTTGGCACGATCCCTGATTCGGCGCTCCGACCGCTTCGGCAGTGGGCCGCCGGGGTGGGGTCGGGCGTTGGCAGAACTGGGTTCAGTGGAACCTGGTTCAATGATCTGCACCGGGGGCGCCCCCCCGTCCCAGTTCCACGAACCGGAACTGCAGCCAACCGAAACAGTTCAAAAACTCTGGGGCCCTACCACTAACCGGGTCCCCTTACCTGGGGTCCTGGCGATACCCGATGGGGGGAGAGAAGGGGGGCTGGCTCTGGACCTCTGCGTGGCGCGACGGTCTGCAGCAGTGCGTCCCAGGGAGGAGGCTCCAGCTGCCTGGAGCAGGCGCCCCAAACAGCCAAGATCTCCTCCCACAGGGGGGGAGTGGGGGGAGGGGGTGCGAGGCCCCGCGCCGATCGGCAAGACAAGGAATCAGAAAACGATCGGAGGGCCCTCGCGAACTGTCTCCTGTTGTTTGCCCCGTCCCCCGCACAGCTTCTCTGTGAGGGCTCTAGATCTGCCTCCGTGCCCTCGAGGCACTGGCTGCAATGTCCTCGTGTCCTCGGCCCAGTCCCTTCAGCCTCAGTCCTCAATCCGGGATCATCCCCTCCCTCCAGCCTTCAGCCTTGGCCCAGTCCCTCCTCCCTCCTCCCTCCTCCCTCCTCCCTCCTCCTCCTCTCCCCTCCTCCTCCTCCTCCTCCTCCTCCTCCTCCCTCCTCCTCCTCCTCCTCCTCTCTCCTCCTCCTCCCTCCTCCCCCCTCCTCCTCCTCCTCCTCCTCCTCCTCCTCCTCCTCCTCCTCCTCCTCCTCCTCTCCTCCTCCTCCTCCTCCTCCCCTCCCTCCCTCCTCCTCCTCCTCCTCCCTCCTCCTCCTCCTCCTCCTCCTCCTCCTCTCCTCCTCCTCCTCCTCCTCCTCCTCCTCCCTCCTCCTCCTCCTCCTCCTCCTCCTCCTCCTCCTCCTCCTCCTCCTCTCCTCCTCCTCCTCCTCCTCCTCCCCTCCCCCTCCTCCTCCTCCCTCCTCCCTCCTCCCTCCTCCCTCCTCCCTCCTCCCTCCTCCCTCCTCCCTCCTCCCTCCCCCCTCCTCCCTCCTCCCCTCCTCCTCCCTCCTCCCTCCTCCCTCCTCCCTCCTCCTCCTCCTCCCTCCTCCTCCTCCTCCAGCCTTGGAGATCATCAGGCCGGGGCCCAGCAGCGCCAGATCTCTCAGGGCGCGTCTTGTGGCCCCCGGGGCCCAGGGAGTTGTCCCGCAGGCCCTCTCCGGGCCCACGGGGGACCGAAGGACGGGCAGAGGGACGGGGGAGGGAGGGAGGAAAAGGAGAGAGGGCGGGGTGAAGAAAATTTGTCTGTCAACTGTCCCGCAGGCCTTCTCCGGGCCCACGGGGGACCGAAGGGCTGGAAGATGGCCGGGGAGGGGGGGAGAGGGAGAGAAAGGGCGGGGTGAAGAAGATTTGTCTGTCAACATCAACTGTCTTGATTTATCCTCGGGTTGTCGTCAGAACAATACCTCCTGCACGTAGCCGGCGCGCGACGCAAGGGCCCGAGGGGGGCCGAAAGAAAGCGAGGGGCGGCCCCAGGAACAACAGGCAACGAGAGGGGGGACACGACCGAAAGCAAACGCCAGCAAGACTGGAGGGACAGAGAGCAGGGAGAGGCACAGGCATCTCTTGAGGAGTGGCGACCACGGGAGGCGACGCGCCGAGTCGGGACGATGGGCGCGCACGAGAAGCAGGAGATGATGAGAATAGAAGAAGAAACAACTACAATCGGGGCGTTGCCCTAAGGAACCCTAAATAGGGAACGAGGCCCCTTTTTTCCCATAAATTAAACGTCGATTTCCCATGGAAAATCTCAGGAACACCTGAGGCAAACAGTTAAACAATCAAGGAACACCGAGCCCCTCCCCAACGAGAAGGGTTCCTTCTTCAGCGCCCCGACCCGACTGTATGTAAACACAAACTGTTGGCGCCCCGCGCGGAGTGCCAAAGGTTTGTGTTGATTAACCTTCTTCGAGGGAACGCACAGCCGCCCGCACGAGGACGAGGGCGACGACGAGGGGGAGGCGTGAGCACGAAGCAGCACGACGAGGACCGGCTCCCCCGCCCACGCCCGCCCAGGGGGATGCAGCGGGGGGCGGCGGCGGCGGCGGCGCGCCTCGGGGCGGCCGGCAGCGTGGGAGGCGGCGGCGGGGCTCGTGTGGGCGGCGCCGGCCGCAGGGGTGCCCTGGGGGACGGTTCCTATAGGGGGAACGAACAGAGGCGTAAGCATTAAATCTCGGAGGTCCGCGCGGATTTCTTGGATCGGCGCTGGGGCTGCCTGGCGGCGCCTCCGGCGCCGCCCCTGGCGCGCTCCGCGCGCCGGGGATGGGGGTCGAGCGCCGATCCGAAAAATCCGCGCGGACTTCCGCGGTCTGTTTATGTTTGTGTTTATGTCATTGTTCGTTCCCGTAGGCGCGCAGGGTGTGTGTGGGGGGGGGGGGGGGCACACCTGGAGACGGGAGACTAGAGACTTCTGCACGCTAGTCGAGGCTCATCGGCGCTATGTCAGCGATGGCCAGACGCTCGCCGACGCCAGCGCACTCTCAAAGACGGAGTTGCGGAGGCGCAGAAAAAAGCTCCCACGATCTGCTACCGAAGGTGACTGCGCCCGTGGAGCGGGAGCCAGTCGTCGCGGAGTTGGAAGTGCGGGGGCCTAAACTTCGATCCGCCGATGCCACCAATCCTGGGGGAAGAAGCTCCTTGTTCTGTCACCTAGCTTTTCGGCTTACAAGGACCGGGCACCATGAGGCTCCCCCTCGAGGCTCAGAGGCGAAGAATCGGGGGGACGCTGGACTCGGGTTGAGGGGACTCGGGTTGGCCTGACGGGGCCGTCAGGAACATGACGAAACCCGATCTGAAGCTTGACGCGAGCTCCCGCTGCAGGCCTTTCACGAGCAACACTGGACCGCCAGAATTTAGGACTGGTCCGCCAAACGACGG